CAATGATATCAAGTATCAACTACAAGAATCTACTACAGTTTTACCCTTCTAACTTTAACTTTAGCAAATTCGTTAATTAGGGAATCGTAATCTAGAGTGGCAGCCAATGTAGATTCAATAGAAATATCAATAAATGATAGATTTCTAAGTTTTGTTTGGCTTATTGAACTTCTTAAGTAGCATTTTATTAATCTTAATTTGGAAAAACTTCTTTCCCCACTAGCTACAGAGACAGGGAGTGTTAATAAAATTCTGAAGAGCTACAACAGTATTCAGATACAAAGTAATTAAGTTATTTTGGCATAAATTATTTAAAACATCCAAAGGTTTCATAGAATATGGTAGCATTTGGGATATATACGTAATTCTTCTCAAACATCATTCGCATTTATATCTGATTCATTTTCCACCAAAAGTATTGACTGGAGACTGGTACAATGATTTTCTAGCATTTTGTCATCTAAATCCTTGAGTTTTAAAATATATAAAAACTGAAAATTTTTGCTATGGGTTTCCAGAAGCGTGAATCATTCATTCAGAGAATTAAGGGTAATATCCAGAATATAATTGAAAAAGTTTATTTTAAATTTACTCTCTTCTGTTAAGGGTTCGTCGACAGCTTCTTTGTAATAAAATTGATGCTTTTTCTTTCTGGCTCTAACTTCAGTTTCGGCAGGAAATTCTTTACTGCATTCAAAATTCTCTGCAATCTCATTAGCAGCAATTTTCATCTGATCATATCCAAATTGTCTATAACTTTTCATTTGTTGTATGGTTTCTGATAACATCCTTACCCAATCTGACAAATTTATAGTTACAGATTGCAATAGCTTCGAGATTTGAATTTATTTCAAATAAAATAGCATGCCAAAGAATTATACTGCATATAAACTTGTAATTTTTAATATTTTTTGCTAACCCTCTTGCTTTAACTTTAGTTTCTGCATCTCTGTTGATGTCTTCTATTATTTGGAATAATGCATCATAATGCATCACAAAGTTGAAATCGTAAAGGTTTTAACGCATCTATTCTGCTTGACCACCTAGTAGCGCTCAATGGTTTTAGAGTTAATTGTGAGACATATTTTTTTAGCACTTCCCAACGCTTTGTAGAACCAGAAAAAAAAGTGTAAAGTTCTTGTACAATAGAAAAAAAAGTTGTTGTTTCTGAAGATGAAGATTGCTGCATCATTCACAACTAGGTTTAAAGAATGACACATGCAGGGCACATAAAATGCTCTTGGATATTTTTCAAGTATTCTATTTTGTACACCCTTTCTTACTCCTTTCATATTAGCTCCGTTATCGTAGCCTTGTCCTCTAAGCCATTTTAACTCAAAACCTAACTTTTCCAAATGTGTCAGAATAAGTTCTGTCAAACCCTCTCCAGTTGAATCACAAGCTTCAAAAAAACCAATATGGAATTCTTCGATTTTATATTTATTTTGAATGGAGTTAAAAGCGACAACTCTTATTGTTAATGAGAGCTGTTCAATATGACTTATGTCTGGGGTACAATCGGCGATTATCAAAAAATATTTAGCGATTTTTGTTATTTCGACAATTTTGCTTAAAATTACATTTCCCATCAAATTTATCAATTCATCTTGTATATTATTGCTTAGATAAGTCACAGACCATTTATCAGACTCGTGTTGAACTCTCCTCATATGTTCTTCCATAACTGGATCAAACTCAGAAAGCAATTCAACCAACTTTAGGAAGTTTCCGTTATTAGGCTGAAACAAATGTTCAGTTGTTCCACGAAAAGCTAAGCATTGTGAGGCCAATAGTCTAATTATTGACATAATTCTTTTTAAAACTCCTTTCCAATGCTGAATTTCTATATCCATAATTTGATGATATTCAGCATCAATAGTTTTTTTCTGTTTTAATTGAATGTCCAATTCTTTCCATGCTCTAAATGCATTTCTGTGATTTACATTGTCAGGGTTCTTGGAAGATTTCCCCATTCAGAATAGCCTTTTTTGGGCCAGTCACTAATAGCAGACGAATTATCAAATAAAATACAACAATAGCAAAAAACAGCATCATTTGTAACAGAATAAATCAACCAATTTCTCTCAACGACTTCACCATTGCTCAACACTTTCGAATAATGCGAGGGCAAAAATCTACGCCTTCCTTTATTAATAGGAAACTCGAATTCTTTTATTTGATGTGGACCCCTCTCCACTACTATTTGACAAGTTTCAGATGACATGCAAAAAGCATTCCATAATGCAGGATCAGATGGAATTTCGTTTACTATCTGCTGGCTGCCACTGCTACTGCTACTCGGCTCTTGATGAACTTCTGATGGTGTTATTTTTTGGCTCTCTTCAACAACTTCTTCTGGAAGTGATTGGGGTGGCACTGAGTTTTTATTTGCCAAATGTAAAGCAGACACTGTTGATGTGGATATGGACGGTTCATCTAAACAGGATTTTCGTACTAAGAATTTTTTCATAACATAGCTTAGCTTTTTTCCTTCTTCCCTTTTCTGTAAGCGTTTCTTTTTATATTGACTTCCAGACAACTTTTTCCTTTTCTGTTCCATACTGTAATAAAAATATTAAATAAAAATTCACAGTCCTTTGCAAAGACCAGAGGGTGTCATTGAAAAGGATTAAATATGATGATGCTTATCATGCTATTAAAACAGAGTAGATAAAATAACGATAGAAATGAGTTGCAAAGCTAGTAAGATTTGTAGGTAACAGAACGTAATCTTATAATATAATCGAGATGGGTTGATGATAATGATAATAAGTGCAGAACCCAAACGGTTAGGAGTTGAAAATTGAAAGTTGGTACACAGGGTACGTAATGAGAATGTACTGTACACTAAGAAGGGATTTTTCGAAATTCCCCCACAGGGAAGAGGGAGAGGATTAAGTCTTATCCTTAAAAACTCAGCTTCTACTGTACTATTTTAGATGTGGGTTTTTGTTTTTAACTACATTTTAGTGGGGGACGTCATGAAAATGCACACTAAAAAAGGATTTTTGGAAATTTCAACCCCCTTCGAGGGAAGAGGAGGAGTCAATTTTAGTCGGTATAAAGTGTAAATAATAAATAAAGAAAGTAAATAGTGGCACATATAGTATACATTTTGGCAATTAATAAATATTTTAATAATTTCCATCTTTTGGGTAACCCAAAAACAATAAATCCAAAATTCGAAATATTGAATTGGAAATATATAAAGTTTCAAACAAGTCTTTTTTAGATTTTAGAATTTAAAATCAACAATATAATTCAAGTAAAGCAAGCAAGTAAGTTAATTCTCCATTAAAATTTTTTTGATTTTTTTTTAATTTATAGGTTATTTAAAAAAAAAATTCTTTTTGAATACTAAAGATTCATTCTATTAAAATTCAATAATGATTTTAATCAATTTTTTGTGTTTTTGACTGCATTTTAGTAGGATACGCCTTGAGAATGCACACTAAGAAGGAATTTTTGGAAATTATCCCCTCGGGAGAGAGGGACAGGGTTAAGGATTATCTTAAAGAACTCTGCTTTATTGTACTATTTTAGATTCGGTTTTTTGCGTTTTTGCAGAAAATCAAACATATTTTCAGACCATGTAAAAATTCTGTAATTAATCTCGGAAGAGGAAAACCTAATTCTTGCATCCAGTGAAAACGGGTAAAATCGGCTATAATCTAAAAATCTTAATCTTCACTATCATTATTTTTTGCCCGTGCAACACCGGGCTCATCTGCTAGTAAACAGATAACAAATATCTCTCAAATTGACAGCTAGAAGCCATTTTGACATATGCCTTTCCTTAACTTGTCATTGTATTGTCTCCACTTCAACATATATAAATTTAGTAAAAATAGAGCAAAAAAATAATGAATGCAAAAGTAGCAAATGCAAATATTTCCTAAGCAACTCTCTCTATCACATACAGAATTTAAAAGTAGTCCAATATTACCTAAATAACTCTATCACACACAGGCACACATTCCACACCTGATATATACCCAGCTCGTGCAAATGCTACTTTTTAATTTGAGTTCTTATTATAACAACATAATCCTTTTCAATGATAATAAGTAACTAAAATTGCTGTAAAAAACAATAATTCTCTTACCTGATCTACTTTTTAAACACAAAAAACTGAACTAGTAAAAATGCAAAAATATTATACTGATACATATATATATCTGATTCACTGATTTAAACACAGCACAGCCACTCGCCACTTATAAAGACAAACTAACGTTAAAACCAAATATTGTCAATAATTTAAGGTCAAAGCAGAACTATCAACACGTTACACATGCAATTGTCTTTTATGATAATTGCCACATCAGCTTTTAGGAGAGTCGCACGGTATATTACAAACAAAAACAATAGCTTTGCGCTGTCTTGTTAAAAGCCTTTTGACTGCCGCTCTCCAACAATGCATTTGCACCATAACCGAAATCAAAGGGTACCGAAAGCACTTAAGCAGAGGCGTGCGATAAATCATTAATAGTATACATCAATATTGGAATAACATAGATCAATATAGAAAAGAGTTGCATAAAAATTTTTAATTATTGAATGGTTCAAATAATAATTTGATTTCGCTGCTTATGCTGCCCCCTTACGGTGCCACCTGATGCGGCCGCATCACTGCATCATAGCATGGCACGGCCCTGGCTTGAACCCGCAACCTCCACTTGTCACATGGTGTGCTTGCCAGTTGTGCCGCCTGGATCCCGAGCAAGCCTTCATTAAATTAGCAGAGTTAGCCCAATTATTTAAGGTGATCATTTGGTTATGTTTCTATATATAGGGCTTTGCAATGTTTTCAATTTTACTTAAATTAGATATAAAACTTTTATAATGTTTAATATATTTTAGGCAAATCTCAGTTATTTATAAATATAACAGCTAATTTTTGTGATAATATTTTATAATGCAGTACTTTCTTTTTATTTAAAATCAGTAAAAAAATAATATTTATTCATTAAAAAAAAAATGTTTAATAATATACATACTCTGATGTAGTTTCTGTTTCTGATGATGAACCAGAGGTTACTTTATTGTTATCATCATTCATTTTCAATCTTGTATTAATCTGTAAATAAGAGAAAAATATTTTAAATCTTATTTCTATTAATAAAATAAAAATTTTAACAACAGCATTGTCTATATATATAATGAACAAAACATCATCTCACAGTATATACTGAATATATATATATATATATATTCATATTATATATATATATATATAAATAATACTATAGTCACTTGGTTTTATGAATTTCTAGGACACATACTGCAATAAAATGCACATTGTGATTCTGCCTATGTCCCAGTATGCATTTGTATGTATAATTTGCAAAATCATGATTACATTTTAAATCTTAAAAACAATGTTTTTTCAAAACAACATAAGGCATTACTAGAAATCTAACTAGTTAATTAAGATTATTAAAGAAAAATAAAGGCAGTTTATTAAAATTTATGCATCTTTATTTAGTTACATTTTACTGTATATATTATATTATTATTTAAATTTTGATTATACTAATAAATATCTCATTCTTGATATATCATTAAATATTTTTTGGCCACTGAATTAAGCTATTATAACCATTGAATCCACACATTCTCTTTTCTAAGTCTTTTGATTTTATTTAAATTTAAAAAATTCAAATAGTCATATTACATTTAATACAGTTTTATTGACAAATTCCAAATTCAAATAAACTGTAAGCAAATTATCAGATCGTGCATTTAAACTTAAAAAAAAAAATTGATTAGATACAAGCATGGAAGCTTTATGTTTATATAATAATGACATTACATTTTCAAAAATCAAAAAACTTGACAAAAAAATTTTAATATTTTTGATGATTAGTTTTGACTGAAAATATTTAATTCGAATGACCAAAATATTTATTTTACGCTGTCTATTCATTGATTCTAAGGTGCCAAGTTTCTTGATTATTATGCACAATAATAATGACATAGTTTGTCTACTAAGTATGCATAATTGCTAAATATGCTTTCAAACAAAAGAAAACTATATTATTTCTAAGAAATAAAATTTTGTTTCCAATAAATTACTTTGTCAAAAAGTTAGGAACAAAGTCTGATGATTCATTTGCTTTATTTTCATTTGATTTTTGATAACTTGATATTAAATATAACATAATAATTTTAATTTTCAAAGAGAAATAAAAAATTCTAAAAATAGTTATTGCAAGCATTGTTCAATTCAATAGAATATCAATCATATTAATTTACTTATTTATTAGTCTGAAGTTTTTATTGTTATTTCACTACTGATATTGAGAGGTAGCATGAGAAGTTCTAATTGAAGTTAAATTTAATCATGTTATTTGTCTTTTTATTTCCATTTTCATTAGTTTTGGAAATATTTTGTTAAATCTCAACAGCTATCCTTCCAGTCTATTAGCTTATTTGCATAATAATAATGGTATGTTATTAAACCTATATTCCAGGAAAAAAATATTAAAATTATAAATAACCATTTTAATAAATAAATAAATGACAATTTATCAATAATAAATTATTTCTGAATATATTGTTATAAAATTTAATGAATTTGTGTAAATATGTTTTATGTAAATTAGTATGCTATCACTAGTGTATAAAATGTGACTGTAAAGCTGCACATATGCTTCAAGTTATTGGAGTATTGATAAGTTTTTTTCTTTATTCTGCTAGCTTGTTCATTTCTTGAACTGTATTTTCAAATAATTATATTTTAATTTACTACAAAATAAATTGTAAATAAAAGGCCAATTCTGGCAAGTAGCTGGTTCTAATAGATCTCTCCCCCTGTGTGTGAGGTTTTATACAAAATAACTCAAAGTAACAAAATTCTAAATTTTTACAAGCCCATTTAATATATGATTTTTAAATGTTTCAAACCTTTTTATCTCGTCTTTACAAAATAATTCAAATTAAGAATAAATTTTTACATTTTGCGATATGAAGATTAAATGTCTTGGAATGCTAACTTGTATATAACCAACCAGTAGTACTTTTTATATCCATGATTATAATAATAAACTGATAAAATCTACTTACCAGAGTTGGCATGTTCTAAAATATAATGTAAATATATACAGATAAAGCATTTTGCTTAATGATATTGTAATCAGTTTGGTTGTCTTTGGGTAAACAGCAAATAGGCAAATGGATGTGTTTTTCCACTTCAGCCTCAACATGTAGGTGATAACAATCATGTATTATCACTTAATGTCAAGTCTTAATTCAGTGCTTCAAACATAACAATTTAAGTGATTAACATTTAATCTGCAGGAAGTAAATTAAATTGCTGACCATTTCTTATTTCAACTATAAGTTAGTTTTAAAGACTACCCTGCAAAACCAGTAGATAAACAGTCCTAGATTAATTACTATTAATAAACTATAGTATATAGAGTTATCCATTTTAATAATAATTGCAGTATTCATTTATCTCCCAATTGATTACATCATTTACTTATCACTATGTAAGATTACGAGATTCTACTGTTATATATTCTATATATAAATATTTAAAACAAAAATTATTTTAATAAATTAAAGACTTAAGTTTTAAAACTATAAATTACTGTTTTTATGTCTAAATAATCTTCAATTATTGTAACAGATGCTAAGTCAAAATAAAATTAGATCAATTTTTGATAACAGTTAAATTTTAAAAAATACTTGTTTATAGTTTTAAATTTATAAAAATTCTAAGTTGGAAAATAATTGAGTAATTTCAAATGATGCAAAAAAATATAATTTTCATCATTTTTATTAGTTCAGTTGTTACATATCAGTTATTGTAATTTTTTTTTTAAATCAAATAAACTATTAAGTGATAGCTTTAAAACTGAAAACTTTCTTAATTTTTTGCTTTGCTATGGAAGATGTAAATTCATTTACTAATCTTTTTTATAGGCTTAAAAGGAGTCTTACAGTAATTAATTTAATAATAGATGCTGCTATGCAAAATATTATTTTGATGATAAAACTCAATTTCAAAAAATTAAAATCAAATGGATGACTTCACATGAAGATAAATATAGATACAAATTAAATGACTTTGTAAAGTGTGATATGTTTTGCAATAGATACCAGTTAATGATCTTATAACAACAAAGTTTTAAAATCTAATATATTTGATTTATAGTACATTTTTAAAGAATAAAAGAAATTCTTCTGATTTTATATTGTGTGTATACAGTTGTTATAATTTTAAAACTTGTAAACCAAATCTTTCAAATTATTGGGCTAAGTTAATTGGCAGAATGTTTTATTTGAATTAACTATAAATTGGGTTTAGAAATGATGATGATGATATATTAAGACTTGCTATTTATTTTTTGAAAAGATAAAAATATATCTATTTTTCCAACATGTATTTAAGGTGTTATATAAGGTAAAACTGAAGCTAAAAGTAATTCAGTTTTTTGAATTATAACAGTAAACACTTGATAGTTTCTAAAAAAATTAAATGAATAGTTTATATTGCCAAGAACTAATAGCAAAATTCTTCAGAAAAAACAGAAAACATTTTATATTTTAATAAATTCTTCAGTTTTTTTTTATGTAATAATTATGCATATTATGATATAGAACTCTATTATTGAAAAACTGCAAAATTTATTTAGCTGCAAATAACTTGCAGCTTACTAAATTTTGCAGTTTTTCAATAATAGAGTATACCATAAGCAGATAGGTAAAATTCTAAATGGCTACATAAAATAGTAAAGTTTTGGTGGGCAATTAAAGGTTGGTCCAATTTTCAAATCCTGTTTTCTGAAAATTATGGTTCATAGCCATATATGGTTCTATACCCACAACTTGCTAAAAATATGCAGTTATAGAAAAAACTTGCAGATTACATTATTACATCAAGCAATTGCAAAATCACCATTGATATTCTGGTAATTTGTCAATCAGTATCTGGTAAATTGATGTTTCAAAGGAGAAAATAGAAAACATCCTGTCACATTGACTAGTTATGTTTCATTTGCAGGTTAAAGTATACCTAGGTAACCCCAATGGTGGCACTTCGGTTAGGTTAGATTAACTATATTTTTAGTAGACGTTTCCTTTTTTTTTTATTTTTATTTTGTTCAAGAACTACAGTGAATCAATAACTAGTGACATTTGGCACTCGGCGGCCTGCCGGTGGCTTCCCTCTGGGAGGAGTCCAATGGGACCTCGAACAGTCGGAAGCACAGCCATTGGGGTTACCTAGGTATACTTTGACCCATTTGCAGATGTAATTTGCATACATACAATTTTTTTTGGCTAACTCAAGCCATTGTCAGGTTCCAAATACAGTACATTAACCACCAAATTCTAGAACATCAGTTAAAAAATATTGATTGATAATTGGAAAAATTAATTGTTGGAATGATGTTATAGAATTTGGTAATTTATATATTTGAAACATGATTGTTAGCCAAAAACATATGTTTGTTTGCAATTTGCATGCTGTAAATTAAAAGTTTAGTTTGTCAATTTCATTCAGCTGTTGTTTACATTAATTAAACTATAATGTTGATGTCCATTATTTGAAGTGTAAGATAGGTTTTTTTGTAAATATGCTCTTGATAATTCATGAACCTAGAATATATTTAATTAAAAGTATGTTTCCGCATCAGAAATGTTTGTTGGAAAAAATGTCAATCTATATTGTCAATTATTAATATATAGAAATTAAGCGAACTAATCTTAAATTTAAAAAAATTTAATATAAATCAATTCTTAAGTAGTTATTGTGAAATCTTGTATAACAAAGAATCTCGTGCAACAAATGTCATAAAAGCTAACCTGAAATTGAGAAGTAAACAAACATTGGATTTACGTCACACAACCACAGTCAGTATTTAAATTTCTCTTTCTATATTTTAATTACGCTAGAACTTATCACAATATAAATGTAAATTATACATTACAGAAAATAATAAACAATATGAAACTCTTTAAATATAACACAAACTCTTTAAATAACAAAAACAATGTATTTATTTTTTATTTATTAAATATTGGTTACAGCGACATCTTTTTACTGCACTTTGTACTTTAATCGAACCTAATCTGAGAACGATATCTATGACACTCGATTTTTTAGCCGTACCATTTTTTAGGTTATATATAATACATTGTTTACATTTGGTTTACTGATTTAGTTATGTTTATCACTGATAAAATTATATCACAGTATCCAATATTTATTTATTATATTTAATCAGGACTATTAAGCAATATTATATATACGTTTTTATTTTAAAATGTAGCACAAATTAAAGCGTTTCGCAAATAAATCGAATAAAATTTTTCGAAAAAATGAATTAAAAATAGCGATATTTACTATTTTAGAAGGTTTTAATTGAAATAATCGAATTTATATCAAGTTTTATCATCATATTTAGTAAATTTAATAATTAAAATAATTAAATTATTATCGATTTTAGATTATTAAAAGACTAGAAAGGTTCAAATATTTCTAGTATAGTACAAAATGTACGGTATAAAAATTTACACGAAAATATACCAAAAAAGTTTATTCTAATACAAATTTTACATCCTTTGCCCAATACCGGTACTTGTAATCTACTGTATACAGTATATTTAAAATCGAACAAAGTCATTTAGTTCACACACTTTCCATTGATCAAATTAAGCAAATGAAGTCTCAAATTAAAACTCATGTCCTCTAGATATGCAGTAAGCTAAAAAAATTTGAATATGTTTCGAGTTTATTTAATTATTAACGTTTTTAGGCAGTTTTTATCGGTTTACCTGACGAGTAGTGCTGTCACGTGGTCTATTAATAAAGTTTTTTCACTGCAATGATTAAAAAATATAAACCTTCACAGTTGTAACGTGACTGTTGTGTGATTCACGTTCCATTTTGTACATTGAAATTACTTTACGTTCATTAAAGTTTGATTAACTATTGAACAGAAAATTGGAAGACGGAAGTGTTTATAGCGCACATAGTGTCATATATACTGTGTTGTTGCGGCCGCATGGCGGATTCGCATGCTTGTTAATTACAGTATCTATTTTAAATTCGTTAATTAGTAAGTTATTACTTTCTTTGTTTTTGATAAGAGCTTATCGTGTCCGGGACGTCCATAAAGGTCTTTTACATTAAGTTAACGGCCTGAAAGAATTTTAGCGAAGCCATTAATTAACAGAAGTAATAAGGTGAACTTTTGCATCGCTTTCAGTAAATATTTTTCATGATATGGACAATTTGATTGCTGGATGCAGTAATTGTTCAGCTTTACACCTTTAATTGTGAAAATAATAAGAAACCACTTCTCTTTATTAAGTTGACAAAATATGCAAGAAGCCTTTGTTTACTCATGGATAAGTACTGTATATAGCAATGTCATGGGTCACATCTTTTTATAATTTCAAAATAAAAATTAAAATTGTGATAAAAGTGATATTCCAGATATAGTTTTAAAGACGTTTTGTGATGTACATTAAATTTTTCTGCAATAAGATATTGTAGACCTACTAGATGTTTTCTATTTGGTATTTTTACCAAATAGAAAACGGTACCAGTATTTGGTACCTTAGAAATACGAAGTACCGGTATTTTTATTTGGTTTCATTTTCCCGTCATTCTTGAAGGGCAGATTTACTAGTAATAATTGAAAAGTTTATGATTTTTTTTGATATGTTAAAACTGAATATTAAAAATGTTTTGGAATTATATTTGTGGTGAAAATTAGAATTGAATATTTATCTTATAATCCATTTAGGTCAGCAGCGGATGGGGGTTACAGGGACCCAAGGCCACCGAGAGAGGAGCTGGGGATTTTTCATCGGGTCCTGAGAAAAATGTCCGTAGTGGTTCCTAACCCTTTAAAATTAATGTTATTTTTACTAACAGAAAATAAAATCATAAGTTAAGGTTGCTTTTTATAAATAAAGAAACATTCTATGCATTTCATTTGTTCAATTTGTTCGTGCAAAACTCACAATAAATCTTATCATGTTTAAAAATTAGTCTTCGAGAAAGTCGGTTACAAATCCAGAATTCGTTAAATTTTAGGATAAATCTAGGATATTTTAAACTGATTACTCTTTATCTCGTGGTTCGTTACTTCAACAATAATTTTAAAAGTGCTCTTTGCAATTATTTATAATTTTGAATATACAGTACAACAGTCAAACCTATGAACGACGACCACTGACGGAAACAAAAAAAGTTGTTTGGAGGTTCGATTACATTAACTTCGTATACGTTTATGAGATAGGCTACCCAATATTATTAGAGCGGAAAAGGGCCTAAACCACAAATAAAAAAACCCCAATATTATAAGATATGTTTTAAACAGTTGGTCTTCACTTACCCGAAGATATGCATTTCGTTTTATAATACTAAAATTCGTATGTGCCATAAATAATTAAGACCCAAAATAAAAATATTTTAATTAAGATGTTTACCTCTGGACAGCTGACAAATTTAC